TTATTGATTCTTTGGAGTTTCACATCATGTACCATCACATCCCCTAGTCCTTCCATGTCTGCCTACCAACCCTCGTGACTTCCCCCTGATCCCCCAAAATAAAATAAAAATAAAAAAACAGAAAAAGAAACAAAAGAAGTCCACTTTGTGTTCTATATATACTCACTGTGGCCTGCCCCTTAAAAAGAGGTTCTTCTCCTCCCACACACCCATCAGAAGCCATCAGTTATGAAGTGCTATACTTCATCATCCTTATCGTGCTTTTTAAGAGTTTTCTTTGATGGCTTCCTGTTTAAGCTGTTGCATTGTGTGTGTGGAGAAGGGTAGGAATTGTCACAGAAGCCTTCCATGGCCCTCTTTCTTGACTGTGTATCTGTAGCCATCTATAGTACTGCAAAAGTAGCTTCTTTACTCTTTACAGTCAGAGGGAACACAGCCGTGTGGTTTCTGGTGACAGCATAGACCACAAACACAGCCCTCCCTTCCAGCTGAAGTAGGACCACAGTGACAATGCAGACCACTCACATCAATATGGCCCTTGGTGGCAGCACTGCCTGAGAATATCAACATTCCTTCAGGTTGCAGCACAGACCACAGCTATCAACATGGCCGGCCAATAAGGCCAGAGACATGAACACAGATCCTGGCTGCAGGAAGACTCTAGACCCAGACACAGCCCTTAGCACCATGCACCCAGACATTACCATGGCAAGCAGGTAATTTCATAGCATACTTTTATTGTTTCCTTAATGGCCTTGAGGTCTGCAGTGTTGTCCTTTTCATTTCTGATATTAGTTCAAATGGTCCTTAGCTTAAGATGGGACAGTTTATGTTTTTTTTTTGTTTTTTTTTTACTTTTTAGTGGTGCAGAAATATTATACATTCTGTAGAAACTCTACTTTAAATGTTTATATTTTCCTAGACTAGCAGTTTACTGTATGATACTCTTCCATGGCTGTACAGTGGCCACAGCTCCTAATAAGCCATATAATCACCAGGGTGAACAACTGATATTCTAGCAGAAGTGTCTAATCTCTTGCAGTGGAATATGACACTCTTTTTTTTAAAATCTAAGTCAAATATGTAAGATAGATTTATTATCTTTTCAGCTGTATATACACATACATGTGTTACTGAGCAATATAAACACGTCATCTATAGATCTAGATATATAGGCTCATGTGTCCCAGGCTGACCTGAAACTATTATGTAAGGATCACCTCCTCCTCCTGCCCGCAGCTCCAGTGCTGGGATTGTACGAGTGTACTACCACACCCAGTTTACACAATGCTGGGGATTGAATCCAATGCTTCATGCACAGCAGGAAACACTTCCAACTGATTTCTGATGGACTTTACAATGAAAAGAACTTCAGGTCATCTTTATCATTTTAAAATTTTTTAAAGTTATTTTTAATTATATATGTGTCTGTCTCTATCTCTGCAGGTGTGTCTGTGTATGCATATAGGAGTGTGTGCACCCTCAGACCAGAGGAACTGGATCCCTTGAAACTGGAGTTACAGGCAGTTGTGAGCCATTTCATGTTGGGTTTGCTAGGAATTGAACTCAGGTCCTTTCCAAGAGCAGTACGCATTCTTAACTGCTAGCCACTGTTCCAGACACTTCTTTATTCTTTTAAGATCTTTGGAGATTCCTAAGAACTTCTAGATTTGAAAGTTTAGAAGGTTCCAAAAATAACTGACATTAAGTTATATGTCTTCATGATTATTTACTTTTCCACAAAATTTTCTAGAGAATCTTTAAAAGATAAAAAGAAAATACTTTTGCATTTAAAAAAACCCCAAAAACTTAAAATAGAAGCAGTACAAAAGGTTTTTCAGTTGTAAACTGAATTAGAAGACCCCAGAACTCCAGAAACACTGTAGTGCTGTGAGGCTAAAGGCACTTCACTAGGACTGCAGGGAACTGTTTCCTGTCATCCTCCATGCCGTGACTTTCAACTCACCTCCTAGGGACTGCAGGTCAGAAGCTCCATCACGGACAGCAGCTGTTTCGTTGTAATCCCATGAAATTAGCTTAATATATTTCAGGCTGTTTGCACTCAGGGATTTTAAAGGTTTATTTAGTGTGAATGTGTGTATGTATCTGGAATGCACATACATTGACCTCAGAGGCCAGAAAAGAATGCTGGGACACCCTGGAACTGGAGTTTGTGTGAGCCCTCCAGTGTCAGTGCTAGGAGTTGAGCCCAGTCCCCTGGAAGAGCAGGGTTATTAACCACTGAGCCATCTCCAGCTCCCATAGTGAGGGATTTGAGAGCCTGTATTTAATGTATAGACCTACACTTTCTGCTTTTACTTTAGTCTGATCTTATCTATGCATTTCATTATCCACGTCTGGGCACTGTTGTTTATTTTCCTGTGTGGCCCTCTCCACTCTTATGAGAGTTCCACAAGGAAGTACATGCCATTTCTCGCCTTCATTTCCTTTCGGCTTCTGTTTTCAGCTTCTCCAAGACCTCCTTTGGAGTTGTAGAGGCCAAAAGCTTCACCACCTTTTCCCGAGATTTACCACCCTTATCCAGAACCATGTCACTCTTCCTGAGGTCTAAGACCTTGGAAAGGTACCAACAGAGCTCCGCATTTGCCTCTCCCTCAGACGGAGGCGCTGCGATGGCCACACCAATGGCCTCAGTGCTCAGGTCTGTCACAGCATTCTGTTTGAGCCGGGTTTGGCATGGATGGCTATGGTAACAAAACCTTTAGGATCAGTTGCTACAGGCCCCGCAGGGGGAGGTGGTATCTCTGGTCCCTTGGTTTGTTTTTTACCCTTGCTTGTCGCACTGCCTTTCTTAGGCATTGTGGAACCACACAGGAGTCTAGTAGAGGCCAAGCACAGCGACCTGCGGCAAGCTGCAGCATGCCAACCCCGCAGGCCGCACGGAAGGCGGCAGCGGAATATGACACTCTTAATAAGTGTGTTGGGCAGTGTCTATAACAATCTTGGGACACACATGGCCCACAGGCCAGAGCTGTGACATGGTTGGAGTACTGTATTGCTAAGCTATGTTCACTAGACTGGAGGTATTTGACTTATAGTTTCAGCTCATACTTGGTTTATTAAGTTCTAAAACCACCATGAGTTGAGGACTACCTATATTTTGTCTACTTTTTCATAGACTTATTATTTTCATAGGCTTATTATTTGGCTGTTTAGTGCTGCAGATTGAACCCAGAGCCTCTTGCATTCTAGGCAAATGCTCTCCCACCATGCCACATCCCCAACCTAGGTGTACAGATTATTATATATTGATTTTTCTGCTTCCAAACCCATGTATTTTCGCTCAGCTTGTGATTTCTTTTTTTCTGCCTTGAATTTGTTTTTCTTTTTCTAGATTCCCAAGGTGTAAACTTGTGTTCTGGGGTTTCTATTGCTGTGATAAAATGCCATGGCCAAAATCAACCTGGGGAGGGAAGGGTTTATTTCAGCTCACATTTCCAGGTCCATGGCTGAAGGAAGTTAGAGCAAGAATGTAAGCAAGGCTATGGGAAGGCAGGAAGGCTTGAGTGAACATGGAAAGAACAAATGGAGTCTTGAATGGAAGTGCACTGTTGACATGGGCAGGAGCATGCCAAGGATCATCGACCCAAGGGACGTTGGCAGAGCCTTCCTCTTGGGTCATGCTCAGGAATGAGAAAGCCTTCCTCTGGTCCAAGAGTGAATGTTGACAGTGTGTATAACTCAATTTATCCAACTAGCTAAAGCTTAACAAAGTTATCAAAGACAAAGAGGCTGGACATATACGTTCAAGTCAGTTGCTGTTAGCCTGAGTAGACCTTAGAAATTCACAAACCTTATTTATCAAATATATTTTATGACTTTTCTAAATTTTTCTAGAAGCCTGGTATTGAGCACAGTTAGCAAAGACATAAGTGGCCACATATATATCTCTGGGTCAGCTCTGTTAACCTGAGTAGAACTTTAAAACCTTAGGAATTTATAAATCTTAATAAAATGTTGTTGGATTTTTTTAATCTAAAACTTTTACTCTCAGGGCAAAAATCATCATGCAGAAGCTTATCCTAATCCAAAACATCTTAGAGACCTACTGCTGTCTTCTTAGTCTAAAAGCAGACACAATGATGAACAGAGGACTTAGGACTATGAAGGTTTATGGGTACCACCTCTGTTGGTGTATACCACATGGTTATCTTAATCACGATGGTGGTAAAGTTACATGGCATTGGTTCTCTTTAACTAAAGTAAAGATGGCTGTCAGCCACGTGGTTGCTTCCATCTTAACTACAGTAAAGATGGCTGTCAGCCACGTGGTTGCTTCCATCCTGATTAATCATCTGTCAAGATGGAGAAAAGCTACATATTTGATGTTTAAAAATATCAATTTTACTAAACAAAAGTTGAATCCAAGTTATGTGTGTGTGTGTGTGTATGTGTGTGTGTGTGTGTATGTGTGTGAGTGTGTGTGTGTGTGCTGTAGAAGATCTATACATACTGTGCGGAAACAAATTAAGATTACCTATATAGAGACTTTTTAAAAACCATGACACTTTTGCTACATGTTTTAAGCTAGCTTTTGCTACAGATTTTATAATTTTTAACCATACCCGATGAACTTACAAATCCTGAGATAAAGAGTTTATACAATAGTCTTAAGAGGTTTTTCTGAGAGCAGAGAACAAAGAAATCCTAGAAATAAAAGAGTTTTCAAAAAAGCTTAGCAGTAAGAGACTTTTGAGGGTGTAGAACAGAGGAAGTTTAGATATGAGGGATATGGGGGATCATTTGCTTGTGCAGTGACAGAAGTTATTTCAGTCTGCAAGAATTTGAAAATAGATTATGTCATATTTTGACATGTTTTGATCGAGCTGTACTAAAGCCAAGACATTTGCAGAAGGACAAAGCAAAGAGTTGGTGAAATCACTGAGTTAGAGGAGGAAAAGAGATTAGATAAGAAGGGAAAGGGTCACGAAATGGGAACTCCACCCAAGGGAGGATTCCAATCTTAGAGACTCATAAGGGCATAAGGGAGCTGTGGAGAGTTACAAGACTCCAGTGAACCAATGGGAGGGACAAAGGCAGAGCAGGCAGCTCCTAGCTACAGGTAAGAAAGCTCCAGGAGGGAACTGAGAATATGTGGGGACAGAGAAAATGGGGGGAGGAAGAAGGAAAATGTCCTGGTGACAAGAATTACAATATGGGGCATCCCTAAGTGGATTGAGAGACCTGTCAGAGAAAAATGTCCCAAATAGTATAGGAGAGGTGTCTCTTTCCATGTGATGGGGGCCCAGGAGGCAAGAGGAGCTTCCCAGCATACTGGTGTGACTTTATCAAGCTTCAGGGAGCCAAGGGAAACAAAGCAGACAGCACTGGGGTGGTATTTCCCCATTAGACAGAGAGAGAGAGAGAGAGAGAGAGAGAGAGAGAGAGAGAGAGAGAGAGCAGGTAGAGGGAGGAGCAGAGCCTTTCCATGGGATAGGTGCCCAGGCTAGCATAGCAGGCTCCAGGAGCCACAGAGACTGAGCTGCCCAGAATCACAGGGAAGAAGCATACCAGGTGGAGGGAAGAAGCACATAAAGAGGCAGACTCTAGAATTTGGAGTCTACTAAAGTGGGTGGCAGAAATTATCAGAAACAATCAAATCAGTGACGGGGTTTTATTAGGAGAGGTCAGGCCCCTTGGAAAGGAATTCATTTACACCCCACCTGGTGATTTTCAGTAGCAGACGCATAAACTGAGGACACAACCATTTCAAGGTATGGTTGATGGGAAGGGTTTTTTGTTTGGTTGGTTGTTTTGTTTTAGTATAGATATGAGGGAAAGTACAGCCAGAGGCATCTGGAAGAGTCCAGGGCAGAGAAAGAAATTAGTAGACTGGACATAGCCTGTGGATTGGACCAGTTCATGAGAGGAAGGAATGGCAGAGGGCAAGAGAAGAAGACAAAGAGAGTGCAGGCAAAAGAGACCAAGAGATAGGAGCAAGAGAGAGGGGACCAAGAGAAAGCACAAGAAGAATAGTAAGGCTCCAAGGCAATGAGAAGCTGGGGAGGGATGCCCATGAGTTGGAGAAGTCAGAGAGGCACAGGAGTCAGAAGTTCAAGGCTGTCATCGCCTATGTAATGATTTTCAGACCAGAATGAGCTTCATGAGACCCTATCTCAGAAACAAGCTTGTGTGCTTTATTTTCACCCACACTTTATTTTACCTTTTGGTGCTAGAACAAGTTGCAGTTAGTTGCACTTATTTTTTCCACTGGGTGACACAGCTGCACTCGATTACAGAATGTGGGTTTTGTGATCCATTCACCTGAAGATCTATTTTCCTGTGCACCTTTAACCACTGTATAGGCGTGGTGCTTGTGCTTCCTTTTAACTCAGCGCTAGCTCTTTACAGTATAAGAAATCAGTAAAAGGATTCACAAGGTTTAGACTGGATTCCTTCCAACCATATTTATTCACTTAAACTATATCTCTGAAATAATGCCACGTCTGCTGTGAATAGAATTGGGAGGAGTTTAGGGCGGATGTGACAGTGGGACTCTAATGTAGGACTTGTTCTAGAGCTGTGCCCTCCTCTGTTTAGAATGGGAAGTAGCTTGAGTTCTTCACTCTGCCACCCCCACCCCCACCCTGAACACCCGACTCTTTTTACCTTCTAGTTTAAGACATTTACAGACTGAAAGTGAAATCATCCCAGCATCCTTGAGCTCATTGTTAAAGGCAACACAAGAAGAGGAGATAATTTGGGCCACCTTAAGTTTGGAATAAAAGATACAAATAAGTCCACACACACCCAGATTCTTGCATCACAGATATGCAAAGAGAGAGAGAGAGAGAGAGAGAGAGAGAGAGAGAGAGAGAGAGAGATTCATTTTGAAAAATCTCTGAGTGCAACTTTGATGTTGTTATGATTCAGAGAGAGCCTGCTGAGGAACTAGGTTGAAGCTGGATGGCTGAAGTTTTCTGTAAATCATTCAAACTTAGTGCCTGAGCGAGTTATGCTGTTAAATAGTTAACTGAAGAACACAGCATGGGAAGGCAGTCAGCTAAGTGGTTGGAGAAGAAAAACAGAACTAATGACTGCAGGCTCTGAAAGTGAACACGTGTAGGTGAGCTGGTGGCATACCAGGTGCTGTTTTGGTACTCTGAGTGGTAGGCTCAGACCAAGAAGTCAGGGATGGATCCAGGAGACTTGGCCAAGCAGGGGTGAATTCTAGCTGAACTTGCAGGCTGATGGTGATCCTGCAGGACTTGAACTCCCTCTGAGGCAGGGGGATGTCCAGGTGTAAAAGGGAAGCCAGAGAAAGCTGAACTGAAGACCCAGGCTTTTAAAAGAGGTGGGGGTGGGGAGCGGAAACTATCAACGGAAATAGTGAATTTGAGTAAACATTTTCTCTCCAGGCAGTCTAACGCCATCCTGCCCTTCCTGGTGTGAGCCACAGAAGTAGAAAGAACACCAGCAACTGTTTTGAAATACCCTGGAGCTGGCAGATGATGGACAGGCAAGTGAGAAAAGGGTCAATTCTGTATCAAAGCAGAGTGCACATTTGCATAGATTTAAAGGTGGGGAGAAAGGGCACTCAGTACTGGGGGCCACTGAGCCTGGGTTGTGGGAGATGCTTCAGACACACAGGGAAGTTTTCAGTTGTCATTTTAGAATGTGTATTCTTTCAAACTCAACAGGACGAATGCTCCTCTTGTAATACCTGTTTTTTCTTAGCAGGAAACAGACAGCTGAGACCCTGCTGTCCTTGTCTCCTGCCGAAGTTGCTGACCTCAAAGAAGGAATCAATTTTTTTCGAAATAAGACTACTGGGAAAGAGTACATTTTATACAAGGAGAAGGACCACCTAAAGGCATGCAAGAACCTCTGCAAGCACCAAGGAGGCCTGTTCATGAAAGACATCGAGGATTTAGATGGAAGGTACCATGGGGTCCTTTGCTTTCTGCCAGTGACCCTGTTTGCAGTTAGATTTGACAGGAAGGGTGCTTACCTCAACATCTTAAGTGACCCAGTCAGCAAATTGGTTCTAGTAAGTTTTCCTCTTGTCTCATTGGGACAGTTTCCTGACTTCAAAATTATGTTTTGCTTAAGTTTCCTTTCTCTTCTCTCTTTCTAAGAACTCTAAATTAGCTTGACAATTCTAGCTGTTGTCACCTAGCTTCTAGAGTATGGGAACATGAATGGGAGTGTTTGGTTTGCTGGAGTAGGAACACACATATGAGGTATTGCATTCATCAAAGATTCAATTCTTCTAGAAGTCCTTCTTGCAGGACACACACACATATGCACATTCTCTCTCTCTCTCTCTCTCTCTCTCTCTCTCTCTCTCTCTCTCCCTCCCTCCCTCCCTCTCTCCCTCCCTCTCTCTCTCTCTCATCCTCTCTCTCTCTCATCCTCTCTCTCTCTCTCTCTCTCTCACACACACACACACACACACACACACACACACACACACACACGTGAGAGACAGACAGACAAAGAGACAGAGGGTGCTTTCCAAACCTTGCTAAAAAGCCAATAACCCAGCTGTTTCCCCTACACACAATGGTGGTTCTGATTATTTTTTCTGAGATCCTATGCCTTTGCCAGCCTTCATCCCCATATAGTAAGTCTGTCCTCTGGGCAGCAGCAATGTTAGGACAAAGTTATTTGGCTTTGGGGAACTATCTGGCACAGCTAAAGAGAGTTCTTGGGCATTTGCCTTATCAGCACCAGTCACCTCATGAACGCTAGACCATACCCTTTAGAGCCCTCTGAAGCCTGTCCTGGTCTACTTGGGTTGAATCCTTGGGTGTTGGGATTTGTCATTCCTTTGTGTGATCAATCGTATCTGTGGCCTTCTGTGGATAGTTCAGTGATAAAGGGAGCTAAGGAGTTCTCCAAGAATGCTCCATTATCATTGTGCAGAGGACAATCCCTAAATCTAGAATATTCTCACAACTACCCATAGACTTGTTTGATTACAGATAAAGTTCCATATCCTAGTCGACTTTCCAGTGTGATTCTCTGTTGCATTTGTAGCCAGAAACTCAGATATTATTCAATTTGGATTATTGGCATCCTTCCTAGGGAATAGGGCAGGGGACCTCACCTCCTTCCATCTCTGGTACATTCATATATTCATGAAGTACTCAGGGTAGATAGAGGTTTTGTTTTCCTGCTGATTATCTTTGGGAGACGTTGAATTTCCTGTCTTTCTGTATGTTGCTAACCACCGAGGGAGGCGCTAAGGCTTAGCAGGCTCTCTCCTCCTTGCCTGCCTCACCAGCTCTTCAGTAATCTTGGACAAGTTCATAATCTTTTTCAGCCTCAGTCTGCTCACTTGTAAAATGAAAATATCACCTTTGTTGTCAGGATTCTGAGAGAGTAAAACGTTTGCTGTTGAAGCATGGGGACCCATACTCAGATTCAGAGCATTTATGTAAAAGGCCAGGCACTGTGGTATGTGCCTGCAATCCTAACCTCTGGAGGAGCAGAGGCAGGAGGGTCTCTGGGCTTCCTGGCCAGCCAGTCTAGCTGAATATCATTGAGCTTCAGGTTCAGAGAGAGAGATGCTGTCTCTCAGAGCAAACGGAAGAAATGAAGAAGGAGTAACTGCAGATAACAGACATGTTAGGATAGGGGATATGATGCTAGTTGCTTTTCTAGTTCTAATCCTGTCGTGGATATTTTGGTTTGGGTAGTGGATAAATATATATAGTATATCCAGTACTGAAAGTGTCAAATTTAAAGTGAAGCTTTATGTTCCATTCTGAAAATCAGTTCTAGCTATATATAAGTTTATTAAGTTGTACAAACTTTGGGTCTAAATAATTTTGATGTGTGATTTTTTTATTTATTTGCAAGCTGCCTTTAAAAATAATTAATAAGGATTATTGAAAATAAATTTCAAAAAGAGAAAATGGAAAAGAAATTGAGAAAGACTCCCGATAGTGACTTGCATATATATGCATTCACCACACAAAAAAAGGCCCACTTACTCAAAACCTACAAAAAAAAATGTTTAAGAGAATATCACCTGTAGTATATGATAAGCAGCTAATTAATGTTCACCATTGTTACTATTCATGTGGGGCCATGAACTTCCTGTGGTCTGTACACACAGATTATTGGGAAGAACTGATTGTTTTTGCATTTTTTTGCTCACCTAAATATGGTAAGTTCCTTACCACAAACCAGCCATTCTTGCCTTATGCAAAACCTTAGAACAGTTAGTCTTAGTTTTGGTTTACCAGCAGTTTAGCTCTGGGGTATGTGTGTGCGCACACGTGACTGGGTGTTGACAGAGAATAGCTTTCTGAATCCCACTCCACCTTAGGTTTTGAGCATCTCTCACTGAAACTGGACTTCACTAATCAAGATAGATCAGTAGGAACCCCAGGGATCCTTCCGTGTCAGCATTCCTAGTGTTGGTTCAAGGTACATGTGCCACTCCTAGCGTTTTACCAGAATTCAGGGGTTCAGACCCTGGTTCTCAAGCTTGGGTGACAAACCCTTCACCAACTGAGCCCTTCCCTAGCCTATAAACCTCTTCTCGGTTCAAGGTACATGCTGCTACTCCTAGTGTTTTATCAGAATTCAGGGGTTCAGACTCTGGTTCTCATGCTTGGGTGACAAACCCTTCACCCTCTGAACCCTTCCCTAGCCTATAAACCTCTTCCCTTTGCTACCCTCACAGGAGCCTGGGCACTCTCAGCTTTATTTCTCTGGGGAGCTCACCACACAGTAGTTAACCTGAATCGCTGTGAAGGCCCCATTTGACTCTCTACCTTCCATTCTTCTTCTGGAGCCTCTGTACGGTTGTCAGTCCTGGAAGAGCATCTTTCTCAGGGTACAGTTAAGCATAGTCCATTCCTTCCTGCCATCCAGTTTCCTTCCTGATACATAACCAGGATCTTAGAAGCTGTACATCTCATGTTCTTAAGTCTAATGTTCTCAGAGCTTCTGTGTGTGGAAGGTCCTTCTTGTGCCCACCCCTTCCACCTCTCTCTTGTCTCCTATTCCTTTCCCACACTCTCCTGTCTCCTGTCCCTCTATCTTCTCCTGTCCTACTCCTGCCCACTCCAAGTGTCCTCCCATCAAGCTGCTGCCCAACCACACTTGGTTCTATCCACTTACCCTCTTGGGTTCTAGACTATTCTACAGTCCCATTTGGAATACCTCCTCCTGACTTTTAGAGGTTGTTTCCCACTCACTCCTGAGAAGGGAGGAGCTATAAAGTAATTCTTCATAAATCAAACTGTGGACTATGTGTTCTTGCTGAGCTACAAAGGACATTTAAAAATTATAGATACAATGAAGCTCGGAAATGGCAGCATGATGTTTTATATGTTTTCATTCTTTCTTCCTTTTTTTTTTTTTAATGATGCTTCTGGTAAGAGCCGTTTCTTGTTAAAAAAGATTCTTTGTCTCTTGAAACAAAACCAACATCAAACAGGAATTTATAAAGAAAAAAAAAGAAATAGTTTGTACCCTACTTCTGAATGAGTACCCCCAGGTGTACCCTATTTCCAACTAAGCACCCCCAGATCTGGCAAGCTTTATTTTCTGGAAGATGAAAGGGAGCTCATGCCTATGATCCCAGTACTTGGAAGACTGAGACAGGGGGATTTCTGACTGTCTGGGACCAGTTTGGGCTACAAAATAAAATTCTGTCTGAAAAACAAAATAAAACATAGCCAGGAGCAGTGAGCCATAAATGGTGGTGCACACCCATAAACAGAGAGCTGAAGAGGCAGCAGGGAAATGAGGAGGTCATGGTCATCCTTGGCTACATATTAAGGTCAGAGCTAGCCTGGGCTACATGAGATTCTGTCTCAAACAAGTTGAAGGAGCAAGAAGGAAGGAATGTGGGAAGGAAGAAAGGAAGAAAGTTAGTTCAAGCAAATATCAAAAATTATACAGTATCTCCTTTAAAGTCTCTCATTGGTTATAGTCTGTGTCTTAGTTGGAAATGGAATTAAATTAGTAAATAGAAATGTAGAAAATTCACCTAAATACTTACAGATAAAAAAGAATTTTAGTTTATGTTGTAAATATTGTGGGAGATGTGCATTTGAAAATATACTCACTTTAAGCAGGGCATGATGGCACATCCCTTTGATCCCAGCATTCAGGAGGCAGAGGTAGGTGGATCTCTGTGAGTTCAAAGCCAACCTGGTCTACAAAAAGAGTTTCAGAACAGCCAATGCTACACAGAGAAACCTTGTCTTGAAAAGAGCCAAAGAAAAAAAGAAAGAGAGAGGGGGGGGGGGAGGGAGGGAGCAAGGAAGGAAGGAACGAAGGAAGGAAGGAAGGAAGGAAGGAAGGAAGGAAGGAAGGAGGGGCAGAGATAAATGAAAAAGAAAGAAAATATTCTCTATACTCACTTTGTCTGAAATTCATATTTATATGAGTAGATTGTACCTGATCTGGTAATCATAGTCTTAAACCTTAAACTTTTGGGGATATAAAACTAGTTGAACAGTAGAAGTGAGGGCCAAGGAGAGACAAGTATGACCACATTCTCTCTGCACCTCACTTAGCTGTTGTGAGAGCATCACTCTTGTGTCTTTGTGCGTAAGAGCTGTCTTCAGAAGCATGGATTCCCACCAGCAGCTTGCTTATTACATGTGTATAAGCCTTGCTTTACCATTGCCCATCCTTCTCCTTTCCCTCTAAGGCCTCTGTGTCAATAGCCTCATTTCAAGCTGACTCCACCCATGCTCCCTGACCAGGAGGAGTTAACCTGAAGTCCCATTCTCTAACACATCATTGTGTGATGCAGACTTGATCTTCACATTTAAAGACATCACTTGGTGATTACCCAGCATTTTCTTGGCACCCCCTAACCCCGCTATCACCTCTTCATAGATTTTCTTTCATGTATTTTGAGCTCCATCAATTGCTTTGACTTCTGTGTCATGAGATGTTATCACACTTCATCAGAACTAATTTTTTTCACTGTGTTATATAGCTGGCTCTCATTTCCCCCTAGGTCTGTTAAATGCACAAAGCACAACTGGAAGTTAGATGTGAGCACCATGAAATATACCAACCCTCCAGGGAGCTTCTGTCAAGACGAGCTTGGTAAACACCCATCCGTGCTTTCTGCTGCAATGAGGAGGGGAGGGGAGGGGACTTTGGAAACTTTGTCCCAATGACTTCCACTCCAAGTTTTGATCTGTTCTGATTTTAAGCTGTTAGACCTACATGATTGATTGATTGATTGATTGTTTGAGACAAGATCTTCCTTCTCATACTTATTGATCATTTGCATTTCATCTTTGGAGAATTACCTGTTCCTCTCACCAGTTCATTTATAGATTGGGTAACTTGATTTCTCATTGTTTAGCCTTTTTAGTTCTTTGTATAGTCTAGATACTACAGCTCTGCCAGATGTATCATGAGCAATATGTTCATCTAGTCTCTGGGCTGTCTTCACCAAATTCCTTCATTTGCTATGCAGAAGCTTGTTAATCCACGAGTATTTATCAGTTGTTGGTGCTGTTTCCTGACAGACTGCAGGCCTGTTCAGACACTTTTTAGCTGTGCCTATCTGTATTTTGAACTGTTTCCCCTACTCCTTCCCCTAGTGTTTTCACTGTTTCAGATCTTTCTGGGTTAATTTTCATTAATGTAAGAGATGGTGATCTGGTTTTATTCTAGTACGTGTGGTTATCCAGTTTTACCAGCACCATTTCCTGAAGAGGTTTTCTTTTCTCTAATGTCTGTTTTTGGCGTCTTCGTCAGACTGAAATGCTTCTAGCTAAATATGTTTATATGAATTCTTCACTCTGACCTAGTTATCTGTGTGTTTGTTTTTGTATCATCCTACTTTGTGAAAAATTTGTACTACTTTTGTTAAATTAATTCATAAATATGTTTACCGGCAGCTGTGCCTGAGCACTGGGTCCTCTCTGAGGCAGCTGATTAGGTGGAGCCTTGGTGAGAGCAAGACTTGGTCTTGAGAGTATAAAAGTTGTTTAGTACTAATGATATTTATTCCCCTTGAGTCTTAGTTATTTGGGGGCCAGAAGCCAATGGCTTAAGGAAAATTGACACCTGTTCCTTATTACTAAATAATTTTACCTGTCCTGACTCTATGTTATTCTGAGACCAAAAGCCAATGGCTTCGGGCTGGCCAGGCAAGAAGGAGGCTTGAAGCAATTAACCTTTATTGAACCAGGAAAAGAAAGTCATGCTCACAAAAGGAAAAACTTTTATACAAGCAAATATGCATAAACACAATACATTCATACACACATTAATACATACACATTCATGATCACATACTTTTTTGAGGTGGCCCAACAATCTGTCTCATCAACTTACATACTTACATACATACACACACACACACATACATACACACACATGCACATGCACCTATACTTATATATGATAATGATCATGATATATATATATATATATAAAATACAGCTCTGTATAAAATATACATATATATATGTATATATATATGTATAAAATTGTGGATGGGGCAAAAGCAAAAACACCAGTGCAGAAAGAACTTACTCATTCTGGATGAAAAAAAGGCTCAACCTTTATTGCACAGAGAGAGAAAAAGCTTCTACCCTTCATTGCTAAATGAATTTAAAAATCTGTCTCATTATAAGAAAAGCCTGCCTGCCGCTTTCTGCTCTCACTACGGCTCCTTCTTTTCTTAGTCTCTTCCCTCTTCAGCCCTGCTACATTCTGCTATTCTCTGCTGTCTCTTCTGCATCTATTTTCCTTTGCCTCTATTCTCCTTCTATGTCCTTAAATCTGCTCTCTTCTTTGTCCCTCCTCATCTACCCAGCCCCTCATCTCTGTAATGCTTCCATCCAATTTTCCTTCTGCATCTTAATTCACTGTTCCTAGTTTTTTGTACCTTTTCAGGAGAATAGATCACATGGTACTCCAAGCATCCTTTTTTTTCAAGACTTCACACAAGTTCAAACATAAATTCAAATCATAAATTGAAGAAGTTACAACAAAGATGTTTACATGTGTTTCCATTAAGACTAGTTATATAACTGAACATTCACTATATGCTATTAGGTCCATAGGTTCACTGAGAGTTTAAAACTATAATGCTTAGGTCTAAGTTAACATTAAAATTTTGTATAGATAAACCCAGTCAATATTTTATCTTCTGTCCTTTCACTTACAATAAAATGTTCATTCCCAGTTTATGGCCTTTAGTTAATGGTTTTACAGCTTAAAGGAATGTATCCTTAAATTATAAATCTGTATCATGCCTGCCTTTTTTTTTTAGCTCAATTAACTCATGACACCTGAAGACTGGCAAAGTCCTAATTGCAGTTTTCATATTACAGAGGGTTTTTATATCATTTGCATAAGTTTAGAAATGCTATAGAATCATTATTAGGAATTAAGAAATCATCTATTTCTCTACAGAGCACTGCTATAAAAGAGAACACCTTCACTGATTTGCAGAAAATCTGCCCAATAGGGTGGACTAATCCCAAGGATTGTTATATCAATTTAATAATGACAAGAAAGGCACATCAATAGCAAGAATCAATCAATAGACGAAGTCCCTTGGGCCTTGCCTCCAGGCGCTCATTCATTGCAGTTCATGGTGAATCATCTCAGGAAAATCACCTGCTAGCCTTTAGCCTCTCCTAGATGGCTCCTGACATATTTGATTCTTTTTGATTATCTTATAAATGTAACTTTAAGATTGCTCATTGCTACATATAGAAATGTTAACTTTCTTATTGATCATGTATATATAACCTTCCTGAACTCAGTTATTAATTCAATAGTTTTTGTTAGATATATTAGATGTTTTGTATTTAGAATCATGTTCTCTATGAATATAGATAGCTTAACTTCTTTCTAATTTGTATGTCTTTTATTTCATTTTCTCACATAGTTGCTTTGTCTAAGACCTCCAGGCAGAAGTGGTAAGAGAAAGAAAGCCTCCTTGTTCTGTCTCTGCTCTCACAGTGGTAGCAGCTGGGTGTTCTCAGCCAGCCCTTCTCAGGCTGAGGACCTGCTTTGCTATTCTTTGCCTCCTAACAGTATCTCCTCACTCAAAATGTTCTATTTTGTCAACTCTCTCTTTTGTGTCCATTGAGATGCTCATATATTTCCCACATTTCTTCCATGAATGTGATGTAGTCCATTGGTCTTTTGAATATTGAATCATCATTGCATTTTTCAAATATTGAACCAGGCTGGTATGAAGCTCACTTGGTCATGTGTGATTCTGCTTCAGACCAACTAGGTCTTGATGCCAAAACCATGCAAACAGACTCCAAAAAAAAGAAAAACACAGACCAATATTTTTATGAATGTAGGTATGAAAAATCATTTACAAAACAGTATCATCATTTACAAAATAGTATCAAATATAATTTATGAATGAGAGTGAAAGGAGAATTAAATAAAATGAGAAAATGTTTGCATGGACAAGATTTGATGAATTGAGAAGTAGGATGGACACAATATCCCTTTCACTTGTGAGACCATCATTCATTCATTCATCCATTCATTCATTCATTCTCAGTGAATGGCATTGGCACTGCTTGCTGGAATGTTTGGGCTTTTCCTCTCAGAAACAATATGTAGACATTCTTATAGTCTCCACACTGCACAGGACTTTTCACTCATCTCATTTTAGGTACTAATTACATCTCCTCATTGTTTCTCTTTACAGCCCTTGGTCAAATGTGATGCTAATGTGTTGATAATTAACATTTAGCATGGTGTGTTTCATAACTTTTTTGATGTTAGAATTTTTTCAGTTTATTTTTTTTATCTGTTTCAGTTTCATGAGGGAATTGCTTCTATAGCTGTTCAATTCACAAGTCTTTTTTTTAAGTTATTTTATCATTGGTTGTCATGATTTGGTGACTTTCTTTTGTATCATCAATTAACTAGAAAACTCAGTAAACCAATTGCTGTGGCACCGCTTGTTAGCTCCCCAATTTACACTTTCTTCATGCCACCTACAGCCATCATGTCATTACAATCCACCTGCCTGTCCTAATGCCAATCATGTTGGTGACTGTAACTTTATGACATGCTTTTGCTCCATTTCTTTCCTATTCTTTTATATAAGAATGTTAAAGAGGATTAGGTTGGTAGGATATTCTTATAATCACAGCACTTGGGAGGCTGAGGCAAGAGTGCCATGGATTCCAAACATGCTTGGGTAACATCTGTCTAGCCAGGACTATACAACAAGATCCTGGTTCAAAATGGGGCAGGGGAAGGCTTCAGGGAACATCATGGAACATACGCTGATGTGGACCACATACTGTTTTTTGAGATTGCAAGATCTGTCTCATGTTTCATAAGGCTCACAGTCTGGAAAGACCATAGGTGTCTTAGAGAAAAATATGTAATATATCTAGGCTTCGGGGGAGGAAATGAGGAATGGTAGAGGGTTGGAAAGATGTTATACCATTGTGGCTGAGGAGTACTGTTTAACCTGGAGTATTGACTAAGCTCTTTGGATGATTAATGGAAACAAGGGTGTAGGTGGAGATGAGCAACGCTTAATGACAAATAAGTGTGCATTTTTCTAGTGAGTAGAGAACAGTTTGAATGTTTGAAACACAAAATAAGGATAGAATTGGCTCAGCCAGCGGAGTGCTTGCCAGATCTTCAGAGCTCATGTAATAGAAGTTGGGTGTGGTAGTGCATACTTGTGATTCTGGCAAAGTGGAGGAGGAGACCTGAGGATCCTTGGAACTCACTGGTCGGTCAGTCTGGCTAGCCTTCTTGGTGAGTTTTAGGTCAAATAAAAGACCTTGTCTTAAAGAATGAGATGAGAGAACAGCCAAGGTTAACCTCTGGCCTCCACATGCACACGCACATGTATGCATATACTCAAAAGAAATAATGACAAACAAGTCTTGTTTTTTAGCATTACTGAGACAAATTCTAAACTGGATTTTTTAAAAATTTGTTTCCAACAGTTCCTTTGATAGAAGTTATCTCAAAGTACTATGACTACTACTTGTTTTAAAATGGAGATAGAGTTTTGGCTTGTTTGTTTGCCTGTCTGTTTGAGAAATTTGTGGGAGTGGGTGGCATTAGGCAGAGGCCCATCTCAACAGATTGTGGAACAACTGTTGTTGAGAATTGTTTAATTACTTTTCTTATTGTTGTGACCAAATTCCTAGCAAGGAGCAACTTAGGAGAGGTTTATTTTGGCTTGTGGTAGGATTGGACATATAACAGATGTTTGTGGATTGTAAGATGTCCTATGACCAGATACCTCTGCATGACGTCATGCACCACGCTGACCGCCTATGTCCTCTGGATGACATCAAGCACCGTGCTGATTGCCTGCATCCTATTTCATTTGTGTTTGTCAGAGATTTCATGATTCATGTCTAGCTTGAATGGTTTGAAACTGCTTCCTACTTCTTTTGGCTTTTCTTGTCAGGTTAGGAGCTCCTTCCTGTATAGCCTCTCAGCACCCTGACCTTCTCTTTCACTGGTTTTATCACAGTGCATGTGTTAAACATGCCAGAGATCTCTTGAGCTGCTTAAGTGGGGCATGAACAAATGAGCAGCAGCAGCAGCAGCTGTTGCCTTGGTAACTGCTGTGTGCTCAGTGAGTATTCTCTTCTGCTGTGTGTGGTTTTGGCCTTCTGTATTTTGATTATGTGTTTGTATTTAAGTAACACTTTCAAAAATGTCATTTTTCTCACGTGCTCGGATTTATTTCCCTTTGGTTCTAGTTGTCGAAATGGATGAAAACAAAGGGGTTTCCCTTGTAGAACTGAACCCTCCTAACCCCTGGGACTCTGATCCCAGGTCTCCTGAAGAATTAGCTTTTGGGGAAGTACAGGTAAGGAAACATTAATGTTATAATATTCTTAATAACAAAATGAAACTAAGATGTCACTCATATATGTATTTGCATATCTTTACAACTATATCCATAAATATACCTAGAGATTACGTATAACATATACTACAGAAGATAGATAGATAGATAGATAGATAGATAGATAGATAGATAGATAGAGATGTATGAAGAAGTTCAGAAAGTACTTTTATTGCCTGAATATTTGTGGATAAGATGGTATGTCAGTCAGTGCTTTGATGATAAAATACTTGAAGCTGAGAACTTTATAAAGATTTCACTCATAGTTCAAGAACTTCAAGAACATGGTGTTTTGTACATGCCCAGCTCTGGTGAGTGCATCAGGATAGATGAACTCACAATAGTGGGAGTGTGCATAAAGGTATCCTGTCATACATGCAGAACAATGACTAGAGGGAGGTGCCAGTCCTCTCATAAAAAAAAAAAAAAAAAAAACTTTCTTGGGGGAAGTGGCCAATCCTGAGATTCTGTGACCCTGGAAGAACTATGTTGATCTCGTCTAAAAGCTCTGCTAGTAATGAATTAATTACCTTATATTAGGCTCCACCTCTTAAAGACCCAAGCACTTTCAACATGCTCACACTGGGCACCAAGTTTCAAGTACATGAACCTTTGCAGGGAGTAAACTGCATTCCCACTGCAGCAGATAACAAGTTGTATGTTTTTGCCCCTCATATTGAGATCTTCATGAGTCTTTTATACAGTTTCTATCTTCAGAGCACTTTCCTCTAAGGAAAACACCTCAGAAGTTTAGGGAAGACAAAAAAAAACAGAATTAAGTATTTTCTTTTCTGTATGTTTAGGAAGTTGTGTGCATTTGAGCAGGGTTTTTATTTCTGTGTTTTGTTTCATTTTGTTTTGTTTGAAATGAATGAAACTCCACTCAGAACAGGAATAATAACAACTCATTTGTTTCCTGGATGCTTCTGGCTCCTTACACTAGATTCCTGCTGCCATATCTCTGCTCCTCTGTGTGTTCTTTATCTAAGGATGTGCCATGCAAGAGGGTGGGGAGGTGAGGAATAGGTGTGGAATTCCCCTACCTGCGCTTGTCTGGAAATCATTGTTGAAATCCATTCTCAGAGGCTTTTGGCATCCTATAGGATAAGTAAATGGGTAATGTAGACCCCAGATAGCCTGACTTCAGTCCAGCCTGCCCAGCTGTGCCAACCCACCAGACTACTTAAGAATCATGAATTCAGTTCTCCCAGAAGCCACACTGGCATGCTAAGTCCCCCAATGCTTGTGCTAACATTGGTCACTGCTAAACACGTCAGAGCTGGTTTAAAGAGAGTAAAATCTGGTGCATCGTTGATTTGACATGAAGCACCAGGCACTAGAGTTCATGTCTGACAGTCTGTGGAGGGTGGTGTGTTCTGTCAGTGTGTGGCTGGAGTTGTCATTGAGCCAGAGCTGGTCTGACCTTGTCAGAGAAACAGTCCAAACTTTGCGCTCCATTGCTGCTGACCAAGCCATAATGGGAATCTCACTGTCTTCTAACAGATAACATATCTCACTCATGCCTGCATGGACCTCAAGTTGGGAGACAAGCGGATGGTGTTTGACCCTTGGTTAATTGGTCCTGCTTTTGCCCGAGGATGGTGGCTGCTACACGAGCCTCCATCTGACTGGTTGGAGAGGCTATGCAAAGCAGACCTCATTTACATCAGTCACATGCACTCAGACCACTTGAGGTAAAAAGTGACACACCCAACTCCTAAAATAACAGCGGCTGAACTACAGGCATCAGTGGGAGCTTCCGGGTTGTTGTTTTGTTTCTTAGACAGGATCTCATGAAATTCAGGCCAGCCTTGAACTCACTGTGTAGCTGAGGATGGAACTCCTGCCTGATGGTTAGTTATACTGCCACTTCCAAATACTGGGATTATAGACATGTGCCACTATGCTCTGCTTATAAACCATTTTTAGATGCTTCTGCACTCTGACTTGCTCCATGAGGACTATGAGAAAGAAAGAAAAAATTAAAGTAGATTTTTGTATATGTACCACAATTCTAATTTTTAAAATGCTTCCATAGTTGATATTGACAGGAGTGAGGAAGGAGCCATTATGGAAAGCAGGGTGCTTGATAACTTCTCACAGACTTCTGCTCTCTGTTCATGAACAGGCATAGGCATGAAGCTCATCAGAGTGGCCTTGTTTTTGTTCAAAATGTGTATAGCACAAACCAACACACACACACATGCACACGCACACATTGTAAAAGGCCAGTGATCTCAGCATTTGAAAAGCTGAGGCAGTAGGATCAAGAATTCAATGCCAGTGTGGGCTACATAACAACACTGTCTCAAAAATGACAGACAGGTACTAAGGACCGACTGAATATTATGGGTTTTGAACATACGTTGAGCCCCACTTACACTGCCCTTGAAACACAGGAGTGCTACAGGGAGTCACAAATGAGAGTAGAAAGTAGTATCCCAATAAAACTTTAGTGATGGATATAATTCCCATGGATCATAAAATGTTATTACCTTTATCTTACCCTGTAAGACTGTATACAGAAGCAGGGAGTGAGCCAAGTCCAGTTCGAGCACTGTTTTGCCATACCCTGCTTTTTATTGTTTATTGAGACGGCGCCTTGCTATGTAACCAGGCTTATCTGGGTCTTCCTGCCTTAGCCTCCCATGTGCTAGGATTACATCCCTCATAATCATGTCCTGCTCTCCTTCCTCTCTTTATAAATGTATTCTCTCATACAATACCTCCTGACTACAGCATCTCCTCCCTCCACTCCTCCTCGTGCCCAGCATCTGCCACTTCCTCTGACCCTGCAGATCCGCTGCTCCTCTGTTTCCCTTCAGAAAAGAACAGGCCTCCTAGGGATGTCAACTGAACATGGCATAACAAGATGGAATAAAATTAGTCACAAATTCTCATATCAAGTCTGGACAAGGCAACCCAGTAGGAGGAAAGGACTCCCAAGGACATCCAAAAGAGTCAAAAACAACCCTACTCCCACTGTTAGGAGTCCTACAAGAACACAATGCTACATGACCATGATATATATATATATGCATGTAGAGGACCTAACTTTGTGACTGTTGCTTCAGTCTCTGTGAGCCCCTATGAACCCTGCTTAGTTGATTTTGTGAGTCATATTCTCCTCGTGTCCTCGACCCCATTAGCTCCTCAGTCCCTCCTCCCTCTTCTGCAGGGTTCCCCGAGCCTCGCCTAATGTCTGGCTGTGGATCTGTGCATCTGCTCCCATCAGCTGCTGGAGGAAGCCTCTCTGATGATGATTTGGGTAGGCACCGATCTATGAGTATAGCAGATATCACTAAGAAAATCAATCTCTCCCTATAGTGTTTGTTTCTACCCTGTGTCTCAGTACCATCATGTCTCAAGGTCCTGACTAGTATGGAACTCAAGTTAGGCCAGCCATTGGTTGGCTACTCCCACAAGCTCTGAGCCACCATTGCCCCCAGCACACCTTAAAGGAAGAACTGGCTGGAGGTCTGTTTTGTGGCTGGGTTTGTGTCCTAGTCCCACAACTGGAAGCCTTGCCTATTTACAGAAGATGACAGGTTTGGGCTCCATATCCTCCCTAGGGCCACCCTCATAGGTTTCAGAAAGTTTCTACTGCACTAGGTTTCTATACTACCTCCCAAACACCCCCCAATTCCAGTCGCCTTTCCCTGCACTCTCTCCTTCCATCCCTATCTCCCCAACCCGATCCCTCCTGTTCCCATTTCCCGCCCTCCCCCAGTCCACCTGCAAAATCTATTCTATTTACCCTTCCCAGGGAGACCATGTGTCCCACTGAAGGTCCAGTCAAAGACCAGAGTCAGAGTCTCCTGACCAAAGTTGTTACACACTAAGGACAGGGTCATAACACAGCCACTGTGAAACATTTAGTGAGTGTTTGCCACTGAAAAGCTTCTGAGACTTGTGAGTTTTACTCCCTCCCTCCAGCTCCTTGGCAAACCCCTTCTCATTACATTCTTTCTGAGTTAATTAGTCATTACTCGTGCCATTTACCCAGATCCTACTGTGTGACCTTTACTTCAGGTAAAACTTTCCTGAATTACAGAAGTGAGGGGAAAGCAGTGTGGTGGAGTGAATAGGTTTCAAGGAAACGTTATTTTATAACATCAGTATAGTGTTGTTACATGATACTAGCAGATAAGAATTATCAGTTAGATAATAACATTAGTTACTTTCCTGTTGTGATAAAACACCGTGACTAAGGCAACTTATAAGAGAAAGAATTTGCTTGGACTTATGGTTCCAGAGCATCATGGGGTGAGGTGGAGGAGGGATGACTGTCTACACTGTAGAAGCCACAAGTGGACAGCACACATATTGAACTAGAAGCATGAACAGAGAGAATGCCTCCCTGACATACTGCCTAAGCCTCCCCAAACTGCTGCCAACTAGGGTCCAAGTATTCAAATGCCCAAGACTAGCTGGCTTTGATGTGCCTTTAATCCCAGAGGCAGAGGCAGTCAAATGAATCTCTGTAAGTTCAAGGCCAACGTGGTGTATGGTGTGAGTTTCAGACAGCCAGGGCTATTACACAGAGGAACTTTGTCTCAAGCAAGCAAGCAAACATAAAACAACAACAACAAAAAAAATCAAATGCCCAAGACTATAGGGACATTCTCATCTACACCACCACCGTGTTTTATGGAAAAATACCTGTTTTCTCCATAAAAAAAACAGGAAATATCTCTTTTGGGGTCATTTTTTTTTCCAATTCTCTTTATGCTGTAAGATGTGTTTTCTGAACTCAGAGGTGAAAGGCAAGTCAAAGGAATCCTGAAATTTTTACATCTTTTGCTTAGAGGATGAAACCTGCTTCCTCCCTGCCTCCTCTCCCTGCCTCACAAGCTCTGCTTATTTCCATAGCTCTTCACAGCACCATTCAGATTGTTTTGTGTGTTCATGTCGTATGATAGTCTGATTCTTTTATGTGTTTGTCTGTTGGAGATAAAGACATGTGGTACCATGGCCAGACACTAGTCTGATTCTAAAACTAGAAAGTAAATGTGTTAAAGTTAGAAACTACCTTCTAATGAGAGCAGTGCTAGGTTTGGCAAGAAAAAAATGAAGTTTGAACACCAATTTATTGTTTATATTATCTGTGCATTTATGACTATGTCTTCTCATCTGTGAAAACAAAAATCTGTATACTCTGTAATCCTAATACCCAAAAGGCTGAGTTAGGAGGAATTTTTTAAGAACTCCAGATCAGCTTGGCTACACAATGAGACCCTATCTCTAAAACAAAACAAAAACAACAATAAAACCCATAACAGGAAAAGAATTTAAAAATGTGGAAACTCACAGCCGTGTACTTGTTCGTGATAGAATGGGTACCTAACCATTTGCTCAGCTTTCTACCATATCCTACAGCGATACATCGAAACTATCTTAGGTAATTAATGCTCAGTAGAAATGACAATTCCCTTCATGTATATAAGCAGCTCAAAAGACCTGGGTGCCTGGTTACCCACAGTTGAGATTTGAGAGTGCTGAATGTTTTTCATCTCCGTTAAATTTTATGGTATGTTTCCTCTGGTAACTTGAGTTCTCCAAAGGATAAATGATGTCAGTGTAACTATCAAGCCTTTAAGAAACATGGCAGTGACCCACAGGCAGGAGTGGTGCCACTCCTGGGCTGGCGGTCCTGGGTTCTATAAGAAAGCAGGCAGAGCCAGGTGATGGTGGCATATGCCTTTAATCCCAGCACTCAAGTGGCAGAGACAGCAACGTGGTCTTCAGAGTGAGTTCCAGGTCAGCTAGGACCACCCAGAGAAACCCTCTCTGTGCTGTGTCCTCTGTTTTACTGAGACTAGCTACTTAGGAAGATCATGAAGATGTTCACTTTACAGCAACATCTGCATGACTCTCTCTGTGACTTCTGCTACTCCCCACCCCATCCGGTCTTACCACTTGAAGCAACACTGGTGTGGAACATGGGACTCACACACTTGGCAGATGTCCATTCTGTGGTTTTGTAGTATGTCCTAGCCATGAAGTAAGATCCTCTGGGTTGCAGTCGTGAGTGTGAGCAGGAACCCTCTCTGGACTGTCATGAAAGGCTGGCTTCCATCTCCTTCCCCTTCAGTCAGCAGGCTGTTCTCTTGCTGGTGAATCCTGGTTTATTATCTTTCACCGTTTCCACCTCTCTGATCTAGTTATCCTACCCTGAAGCAGCTTTCCCAGAGACGACCAGACATTCCCATTTATGTTGGCGACACAGAAAGGCCTGTGTTTTGGAATCTGGATCAGAGCGGCGTCCGGTTAACTAACATCAACGTGGTTCCATTTGGAATCTGGCAGCAGGTCAGAGATCTGTTTGCTTTCTTATTATGCTTTCTGAGATGACATTCAAATGTTTAAAATGTGGCCCATGTTATTGGTACACAAGATACGGTGAACACGACCTCTATACATTTGGACATAACTGTTTTTGCTCAAAGCTTTCATTTCCACTTAGTAAATGTATAAGCTTACAAAACAGCCTAATAAACCTAGTTCCAGAAAAAGTCTTTCATTTTCTTTGATCTGATTTGATAATTTTTCTCAAAATGATGGTCTTCTCAAATATTAAGGCCAAGCTGACCTACATAATTGTTTTATTGTTTTGGATTGCAGGTAGACAAAAGTCTCCGGTTCATGATCTTGATGGATGGCGTTCATCCTGAGATGGACACATGCATTATTGTGGAGTACAAAGGTACCTTCCTATCCCCAAAAGCAATGGAAAGGGAAATGCACCATGGGTAAGAAAGATGTCCGAAACCTCATCCTATGCTCATCTTCTGTATCCATTTTCAGAGAACACAGTACATTATGCTCTTATCTTTGGAAAATGAACCTTTTAGATTTTTTCAGATGAAAACTTGCCAGTAATTAGGAGTCTATGATGACAGGTATATTGCTTTTAACACAAGGGAACTTATATTTACATTGTTTCAAGACAATCTTTAATTTATTGTTGAGTAAATGTCATGAGTCCCTTTCATCATGTTGCCGGATATAGTGATATACACCTGTGATCCCAGCAGTCAGGATGTGGAAGCAGGAAGAACAGGAGTTCAGGGTCATGCTCCGACAAACAGTTCAGGCCAGCCTGGGCTCTGTAAGATCCTGTCTTAAAGCACAAAGCAGAGAAGAGCAAAACAAAACAAAGAAAAGGGGACAAAAGAATTATCACTAGAAAATTTTATCATGAGTGAGGCATGGCCTTAGTTATCCAGTAATCATTTGGAACACAATTATGCATAGATTTTTGCCAGAGATAAGGGCATCTATGTTGAGCTGACTCCTTAGCTTCAGCATCTGGAGACAGGAGAGTATTCTGTGATCACAGTGAAATTAGACTGTTGGTTATCATAAAGACCTAGAACCTATCCAGCCAGAGGGATGAACTACTTTACTTGGAAATCAGAATATTCTAAGACTTTAGGCTCTGACAGCTTCCTCTTTGTTTATTGAATTGTTAGTTTGATTGTTGGTTTGGTGTGTGTGTGTGTGTGTGTGTGGAGAGGGGACATACCAATTCTTCTATAATCAACTGAATTAGATTACATAGACCGCAGTGGACAACTTTGTTGGCTTGATCATTCAAACCACAGCACTTGAGATTACATGTTATTTTCCCACAGGTCATAAAATACTCAACACAGTGGACTGCACCAGACCCAATGGGGGAAGGCTACCTGAGAAAGTTGCTCTAATGATGAGTGATTTTGCTGGAGGAGCATCAGGCTTTCCAATGACTTTCAATGGTGGAAAATTTACTGGTAATAATTTATATCCTAGTGATACTGAACATTAGGCATGGTGCTTGGCTGGATGCTTTGAGAATAAGTACAAAAATGCCTGGCATATGGTACCTGCTGAAAGGAACCAACCTTGTGAACTACAGACACTATAAACTGAGGTTTTGGAATACGATGGTAGAGTTCACGGAGACTGCTGAGATGAACGAGCATCTCTGGGAGGGAGTATCTAGGAAGAGCTAAGAAGGACAGTCGATGAGTATCACAGAGCGGAGCACAGAGTGGGATGTGGAAAGGATATGATGGGTAACTCTGGCCTCCGTGCTTTTAGGATGAGGACAAGAATGTAGTGTGTGGGACTTGGTGTGGCTGCTTCCTAATGGTCCTGTGGAGTACTCATGAGTGGTACAGGCAGAATAGGGCATTCTACAGGGCATATTCTCATCCAGGGCATATTCTCATCCAGGGCATCTTCTGCTCTGGATTCAAAGGTGATGCTGGAGTTTGTCTGAGGAAAGTATATATATGAGACAGTTCATTCAGTTTTGTATCCTTGTACCACCTCTCTGATCCTATATGCTGCAACTCTAGATCCTGTTTAATCCTAGACTTCTCTGACCAATTGCCTCCCACAATGCTCAGTCAGCCCTCTTTGTTACCTACTCATGTTCTCAGGCTAGCACTCCTGATCTATCCCTGGCCCAGTTTGTTACACTGACTATTTTCATTCCCTGGAGTCCTCTTGTTGCTAAACTCTACATGACCATCAATTTCCCATGGGTGTCAACTCGGCTACAGTCTTTTCCCTGATTGCCCTGTTACCCCACCCCACCTCAGCACAGACACTCCCTGACCACTCTGTCTAAGGGTGGCCATCCACCCTACCTCCTTCTGCCTTGCTGTACTGTTTATATCACTTTATATAATTGTTTATACAATTTATTTCTTCTTTTAAAACTTGCTTCTCTCACTATCCTTGGGAGCACTTCCTTTTTCTTGTTCATAAGAATCACAGTCTAACTCAGTATTGTATGCTTAGTGCCTCAGAGAACATTGAAGATATGTAATAAACACTGGGTGGGGGAAGAAAGAAAGAGAGAGAAAAACTTTATGAGATGTCTATAATGATTCCGTTGACAGAGGAGGAGGGAGAAGTCAGGTTGTTTACTCAATTCTGTAAGTGGTGGGCAAGGCTTAGCTCCTAAGTGTGACTAACATCTGTCCCTGTGATTTTAGTCACAGTGAGTTGTCAGGTTATAAAAAATAGATTTCAGTTTCATAGCGTACCAGTAAAAGGTTACACACTAGTAAATGGTTAATGACTGTAGGAGTTACAGAGCATAGAGAATGAGCTTGCCTACAAAGGAAGGCTATCCACTCTGAGCCCTGTATTCAGCTAGAGTCTCCAAAAATATAACAAGCAAAAAGCGAGCTTGGAACCTGTGGCTGGTCTCCTCGTAGATAATCAAAATTTGCAAACTCAAGCTGAGGACACATCTCCATCAATGCCACAAGGATTTATTCCACTTCTGTCTTTCTTGTCTCTCCATTTTTTCTTCACCTGAACAAGTCCCTTTCAAGTAGAGCAAGATTTATTAAACGTTTCCATTTGTAATCCCTTGGCACCAGAGAAATCTTTATGTAATCCTGGGCATATAAGTACATATGGTACAAAAATCAAGTTTTACTGATAATAAATTATAAGCAAATTGATTTTAAAGTAATTCTTTACTGTACATATAATTTAGGATTTGCTATAGACAAAAGCAGATTTGTATGCTACAAAATAGATGTACTTATTTATTTATTTATTTATTTATATAAAAATTAAATCTTGGATGAGCATTTGATACAGTAGGATATGGAATATCTCAAGCAGTTTTCAAAGTTGATTGATATTTTGATTTTATGATCAATTCTGAGAATTCCATTTACATAAATATGTATTACTATTGCAGAAGAATTATGTTTAGGGCCATTTCATCAGCTTTTAGAAATTCTGTCCTGATCCCCAGTTAAAATCCATTGAACTATAAAATTTTGTGAAACTCAAGTCAACAACTCAAACAGCAATTTTAAAAATAAAGGATTCTAACACAGTACAACCCAACATACATTAATTTGATATATTCTAAGGGAGGATGATCAGAAAATATGAAGTCTTTTTTTTTATAATTAAACCATTCTGTTTCTGTAAGAGCAGAAAAGGTCACCTGTGCAGTAAATCTGTAGTTTATAGCATATAGTAGTTTTGAATGTGTGCCAAAGGCACACATAATTGATTGCTGTTGTGTTGCATGACAACATGTACAGTGTAAAGCACTCCTGTTGGATGCTCAGAACTAAGGCTGGAAAAGTATTACATGATGCTCAGTGATGTTGCAAGGCTTAACACAGGTGAGTGGTATCATTCATTATGTGTTTTATTTCGAATTAACTTTTGTTCTGACAAGAAAGCCTTCCTTACTCATCATGGAATATGCATTATCATAAGCAATGCACTTCTGTCTTAGGTTGATAAGGCTCTGTGCAGAATCTTACCCATCCTTGGCTTGCCAGGACAAGGAAATGGACTACAGGCAGGAATCTGACATAGCCCAAGGACAGGGAAATGGACTGCAGGCAAGAATCTGACATTGGGCTAGAATAAAGATGTAATCTCAGGCAGAAATCTAAATCCTAGGCTAGAACAATGAAGAAATTTCAGGCAAGAATCTAAATCTTAGACTAGAACAAAGAAGTAATTATAGGCAGAAATCTAAATCTTAAGCTAGAACAAAGAAATAGGCTTCAGGCATGAAAATGACTATGGGCTAGGGCAGGGAAGTAGGCTCAGATACTTTGATCATCCTGATAAGCCCTTAGAAATAGTGACCACAGGAGTGATCATGGAACTCTGTTTATTGTCCTGCATGTTCTTTGATTATCTGGGTTTATTGTCTTCCTTGTTCCTGGACTATTTGCATCTAATGTATTGCTAGTTCCTCAACCTAGAACTGACCTTAGTACTTGCATGTAATTTAAACAGTATAAAGGCAAAAAAGGAAGAGGAGGGATGGGATAGGGGATTAATGGGTGGGTGGAATGGGAAAGGGGATGGCATCTGAAATGTAAATAAATAAAATATCGAATAAAACAACAACAAAAACTTTTTGTTAGTTGGATTCTCAGAAAACCGACTGCTGTTTACATTTAGTTACACGTCCCCAGCTTAAGAAGGTGGGAACCAGGGCATTCACTTTCCAATGACTTCTGAGCAGAGGATGCTAACCCCAAATCTGTCATTGCAGAGGAATGGAAAGCCCAGTTCATTAAGGCGGAAAGAAGAAAACTTCTGAATTACAAAGCTCAGCTGGTGAAGGATCTGAAGCCTCTCATCTATTGCCCATTTGCTGGGTACTTTGTGGAATCTCACCCATCTGACAAGTAGGCCTCAATATTTCATTCAATATTTGTGCATATGAGTTAGTGTTTGTCAGATGAATGACTTTGCTATATGTGCATTGTGCAATGAGAAAAAGAGTATGAGAATCCAAAATATCTCTCTCTCTCTCTCTCTCTCTCTCTCTCTCTCTCTCTCTCTCTCTCTCATCACCTGTACACACACTTTTCTGTTATATAATGACATAAGTCTCAAATAATGAGAGTTCACCTTTATGATCTCAATTTAGCCTGATTTCCTCTGTAAAGATGCTCTCTCCAAACAAAGGTCACACCCTGTGGAACTTGGGTAGATATCTGATATATCTTTTCTGAGAGGGACACGACTCAACCTGTACCAAGTACTTTAAAATCAAAATTTTTCATGAGTTGGCAATAACTACCATTTTATTTAGTTTCTAAAATAATTGATATGCAAACGATTTTTTATTATTACTTAATTTTTTGCAATGGTGTGTGTGTGTGTGTCCACATACATGTAGAGGTCAGAGGACAGCTTTAAGGAGTCAGTCCTTTATTTTTACTACGTGAGTCCTGGGGATTAAACTCAAGTCATCAGGATCAGAAGCAATTGCCCTGTATTCAGAGTCGTTTTGCTGGCCTAAGGCTTGTTTCCAATCAGCAGCATCACAGTTGACTGAAATATTCCAAATCAGGGCTAATGCACACTCTGTTAGTGTGGGTGCTTTAGAGTCAGTTATGCTTGAGAGAATCCTATGACACCAATATTCATGTCACAAGTTGAGACAGAATGAGCCAGCTTACTTCCAGGCAAACTTTAGAAACCCATATACTTTCGATTCAAAAATCAAATGAATTCTGAACAAATGAGACGATTTTGTTGATGTGTATTTGAATATTATACAAAGATAGCTTTTCCTGTACTTGATTTTGGTACTGGAAAACCTTTAAGTGTAGCTTAATCAACAAACATATAAATCGAGTTTTGAACCATAAGTTTTGTGTCATCCAGATAGAGATCAAGAATTTCTGATAGAAATTACTGACTGAATTGACATAACCTAAGTATACAAAATATATGAAATATACAAAACAGGATATATGAATAAACTAATACATACACACAAACACACACACACACACACACACATATATATATATATATATAATTAACTGAGTAGGGATTTGGCTCACCTGATAAAACACTTGCAATATATTCTTAAGGACCTCTAAGCACTCATGTAAAAAAACAGATATGGAAGTACATGCAGTGATCCCAGTGTTAGAGAAGTGAAAACAGGAGGATCCCTGGGGCTCAGTGGCCTATCAGTGTAGCAGAATCAATGAGTGACAGTGTCTCAAAAGATAAGATGGAGAACTGTTAAAGAAGGTGCCCAATTTTGGCTTCTGGCCTTTACACACCCTCACTCCTGTGTACCTACACATACACAGGTGCATACATATATAAATATACGTAGTACACACACAAGTGACATAAAATTATATGTGTGTGTCATATAACACTATATATTTTATTAGAGACTGTAGCAAACTACCTCAGCTATGCAGTACTTGGTCATTCTTGATAATAAAGCTATGATAGGTAGCAGAGAAATTTAGCTATCTGTAATTTATTTCTATAAACATGAAAATTTTGATTTCAGTAGAATTGACTTCACTTGTGTTTTAGTTATTTTTCTATTGCTGTGACAAAAACCATGGTCCAGGCAATTTAGAAAAGGAAGCATTTGATTGAGCTTATAGTTTCAGAGACTTAGACTCCATGATGACTGAGCAAAAGCTTGCTGGAAGGAGGAGCTGATCTGCAAGTAGGAGGCAGAGAGCACTCTGAGATTGGGGCAAGTCTTTTGAAACCTCAAAGCCCTGCTACCAGCAACACATCTCCTCCAACATAGCCACACCTCCCAGTCCTTCCCAAACAGGTCTACCAACTGGAGACCAAGTACTCAAATATATGAGCCTATGATGCCTTTCTCATTCAGACTACCACGTTGTCTTAGAACATCATTTCATTAATCACTCTACATTCATCATTCATTACACCGAGGAACTGATGTACACTAATGACTCATTGAAGTTGGTTAACAGCAGTACAGTCGATAGTCTAGTCAGCTATGAGCTCAGTACAAAGTGGCCTCAGGCAGAAAAGCCTTCCACTCACTACTGGTTATAAAGTGGGCCTAAGCACAGGGAACATGCATCATGGGTAAAGCTTTGAGCAGCTCTCTATGAAGGTTTACTAGACCTTTAGTTTATGGATTATAGACTAAATTCATGATTATAAACTTAATGGATTATATCTCTAGGGACTGCAACAAGGCCTTTTGTTTTCAGTATCTTTAATTGTGTTTTATGAAACCAAGATCCAGACAGGACTCTGCTATGTAGCCCTAGCTAGCCTAGAACTCTCTATAAACATTGGGCTAACCTCAAACTTATGCCAGTCCTCCTGTTTCTACCTCTTTGATGCTAGGTTTACAGGACCAAGCTACGATGTCTGGCTTAGTTGTCATATTTTCCAATTAAAAAAAACCACTCATATATACACTATCTCTAGATAATCTCCTCCTTTGACACTGAATGAGTTCTTATATCATTTGGAATTGCTGGATAAACACAAATTGTGTTAGGATCTATGCTCATGTAGAAATCTATGCAGCTTTAAAAATACACTACAAGTCATTTTCTCATAAGGAACATCTCTATTGACAGAACTAAAGAGCCCTTGGGCCACACAAAAAGTACTGGTCCATTAGCCTCCACCCATGTTTAACCTTGAGGGATGAAAAAGTGGGCAGGAAGGGTGGAGGTGACAGAGAAGGCTAGTAAAAGCCAGACTTTGAGACCCAGGGAGGGCTGGATCTGCTCACAATGAATGACACAGGATCAGAGGCATCGGTTTCTCCTTCATGTTTTAAATTCACAATTGTGAGAAACATCCCCAAGGTTCTCTAGGTGCCCCAAATAATGTTTTTACTGACGCTTGTAACCCCAGTGCTTGGCAGGATGAGGTAGAAGGATTGTAACCCCAGTGTTTGGCAGGCTGAGGTAGAAGGATTGCCAGTTCCAGGTCAGCCAGGGTTATGAAATAAGATCCTTTCTCAGATCAAACACACACAATAACAACTAAGAACGAAAAGGAAGAGAGGTCGGAGCTCAGTAGCTTGGCTCGGCTGGTGTGCAGCCACACAGCAGTCAGCTAGAACCTGAGTTCTGCACTGTCCATGAGAAATGGCAACTATGACACAGTACTCTCCCTGGAGCAGAGGTAGGATCTGAACTGCTTTGCACTCAGTTCAGCCTGAGTGCTGGTCACACTTGATGTTAGAAAGCACTCAGAAAGATGCTGTAGGCCTGTTTCCCCAACTCTAATCCTTAAGCTGGAATCTGGAAAGAGCCAGTAGGCCCAGGGGAGAGGCAGGTGCTGGAATAGCAAAGAGGGTCCTTGGCTCAGAGTCCAGAATGCTTTTGATATTTTAACAACTGGTATATCTAACTGGAAAAATAATGAATTTTGACCCTAAAGCAATGATAAAGGAGTGGTTGTGGTAGAGAAGAGAACCTACCAGCATTCACAACTGTTACAACCAACAACATAGGGACACCCAAGAAGGGGATAGGGGCTTGTAGTCTTTATCTATAGCAAAACAGAAAAATAGAAGCACCCCCAAATATTGCCATGTATGCATACCAGTGTACAGCCCAGAGGCAGGCAGTGTAACAGCAGGGAAGCGGGCAATTCAGACTTTAGACTGCTTGAAGTTTGGAAATATGTTGTACTAACAGGGGAATCCAAGGCTGGTATCAACCTAAACTCTTAAATGTCTGTGATCAGGACACAATAGAAGTAGTAGCCAAGTATTATTGTTGTTAGTTTCTTGAGACAAGATCTTCCTGTGTAGTTTAAGCTAGTTTTAAGCTCATTATCCATCTCCCTCAAACCCCCCAGTATTAAGGCTCTAAAACTATACTACCAGATTCGTTTTAAAAGTTATTTCACAGAGTCTAGGTAGTAACAGGCAGAAAATGCCTCATACAATGTCATAAATATGGGAGTTTCCCAGGAAATACGTTTTTTTTTTCTTTTCTCACTTCCTTTTCTCTTTTTGACTCTTTACCATTGTTTAGGGGAAAGCACTGAAAGCAAATTTTCTGGAAACAATAATTGTAAGATCATGGAAATGACTGTGTATCACAGCTCAGTAGTGGGGTTGTAGACATATCCTCTGATATTTTGTATAAGGACAAAAACAAGGAGAAACAGAAGGCATTAAATCATATTCCCAAATGGCCTCAAAAGGTAAGGCAAGCCCAATTTTCCCGCAGGCAAACTGAGCTCTGCACAGTCAACCCACTGGGCAGCAGCATACACTGAGCAAAATGTATGACCTATGACCTCAGGACCCTGAAAAGTAAACAGTCGCAGAAAATAAAAACAAAATGACGTGATAGCACATGAGTGATGCTATGGTTTTACATTTATGTTGATTTGATTATTTGGGAATGGTATCTGCAATGAGGCCCAGATGATCCTCAAACTCATGATTCTTCTGGCTTAGCCCCAAATACTAGGATTACAAGCAAGTACCACTATGCTACACTCTATGCTTCTGTTTTCTCAAAAACATAGTAAATCTTACTCTCTACTCAAGACAGCCTAAGAGTGATGTTGAACAGTGGTAAGAACAGGACACATTTCTGGAGTAGGGGCGGAGAGGGGGCAGTTGGGGGAGTAGGGCAGGAGTCAGAATCGAGGAGCATCAGAGTAAGTAGAACCTTCTGAGTTTGGAAGGTTTAGTTTCCTTTAGTTCTTTCCTATTCACTTGCCAAGTCTCCAGGTGACTGCTACAGTCCCGAGGCCACCTCCACAAAACCCCAGGGGAAAGAAGACTTCTCTCAGGTCAGAAGGACTTTGATTTCAAGAAAGTAGAGAGAATTATGTTGCTCTTTTTTTCTCCCCTCAACTCACTCCACCTACCTTTCCTGTTTGCTCTTTTTGAGAA